CAATATATGCGTAAGAGCACAAGTAAATTAGCTAACTAAGTTAGTGCTATCATGATATCACCCTGGTGGGTCAGACCTCGAGAAGTGATTAGCCTTGTGGGGGCAAACTTTGTAATCACCGTAAACCCAAATACCATCGATATAGTCTAGTCTAAAGTCTATGCAGTTTGATGCAAAGAAGCCACCAAACTGTCTTGTTGAGCCTGTTATCCACAAAGGAGATATTGCTGTGTGCTGCTCGGGAAATCGTGGAAAAACAGGTGGCCTTCGCTGATGCTATGGATTCATTGCTGATCTACATATTTAATATCGTCGACTCTTTTCCGAAGTGTTGCGTGTGTGTTTTCGTCCTACTTTTTTTTATAGCGACAGTCCCCCCATTTTTCGTGGTGAGACGTGTACTACACTTTTCAGCGTATGTAGAGTACTGCACTTTTCAGTGTATTTTTTCGTACAACTACAACCATCCAGGGTCACACAGGAGGGGGTAAACACCAGGGCTTTTTTTCTGCTTATTGTATTTCTTTTCATGCCCCACCTTCCTCCTGCGGTGCGTGCTGAATTGTTATTTTTCGCGTGAATCGTTCAGCCGTCCCTCTCCCTCGTCAACGGTGCTAACGTCGAAGTATGGTACTCACGAGGGTATTTCAACTTTATTCCGCTTTCACCCGCGAGTTTCGTAATTTTTTCACCCCTGGGGATCCGAACTCACGACCTCTGCGACTAGCGGATTACGAGAATACCACTAGACTAGAGATGGATGGATTCGAAAAATAAACCACCAGGGGAGATAGACTAACGCTGCGCTGCTCGGGGAGTTAATTGTAGAGCCACAGGATGGTCGCAAAAACTCAAAATGGAATGCATATGGCTAGTCTATCCAGGACTCTGGGCCTGTAGAAGAGATGATCTGTCAACATTTCACACCCTGTACAACTTTAAGTAGTAACAAACTAATTTTGTTGTTTGCCAGACAACTACCGGCTAGTTGTTCGTAAACACCTAGTCGCGCACGCTCCTGGAAGAGTAGTTGTCTGCAGGGAACTAGGTGCACACGATTCTGGAAGAGTAGTTGTCTGCAGGCAACTAGGTGTGCGCACGATTCTGGAAAAAGAGTAGTTGTCTGCAGGCAACTAGGTGCGCACGCTCCTGGAAGAGTAGTTGTCTACAGGCAACAAGGTGCGCACGCCTCTGGAAAATTACTTGTCTGGCAAACAAATACCATCTAAAGTAGTTTTACGGGTGTGCATTTAGACTACAATGACGGCAGTCTACTTGTAGATTCGAGAACAGAATCGAGAGATACTCTCAGCAAGAAATAAGTGTCGCTTGTTGTCTGGTGAACACCGGCGGAATTCGAACCCCTGACCTGGCCACTTGAAGGTTGCGACGATACCGGGGCGACCGGTTTGTTTGGTTTCTAAAATAACTTACATGTACCAGTATTGCCCAACCCTCTCATCAAAATGCAGTATAATGAAAATACCTACACACCAACCATTCATCCCATCTCATCTATTCATCGGAGGTAGGCGACATTACTTTCACCCCACCCATTGATTTTCGATTCTGGCAAGGCTTTGCGATCGCAAGATTCCCAACTTGTCTTCCATATAAAACGTAAAAATAAGTAAACTGCAACACACACACACGTCAAACACTTGTTTTCTGTCATTAAAGTCTCTTGCATCGCAAAATGTATGCATATGGTGACAGTCGGTTGGGGATAGTTCTTTTGTCGTTATTGTTAACTTTGATTTTTTTGCCATGCCACATATTCTATAAACGTCGGGCTTTCACACTTGCTTTCGGTCAGATTTCTACACGCACTAGCCGATGTAACACACAGGAGTTTTCCTCGCTTCCTTCTGCGGTGCTATTTTTATCGCGAGAAGGATTCAGCTTTTTCTTTCCCTCGTCGACGGTAAAGTACAATCAGTGCTACACACCATCGAGTTATCGCTTTCCGACGGATAAACAGTGCGTAGTCGAGTCGCGGACGTCAGCCATCGCGAGCGGCAAAGTACTCTCCCGTGGCAAGGCACGCAAAAGTGGTCAGTGATTGAGAGGCGGGGCAGCTTCAGCCGCACGGACGGCTCATAGGTCATACATCACCGAATGAGCCCGCGATGTGCACGCCACCACCATGAGCTTAGCCCAGTGAACTGACGCGCCGTGCCGTACGTCGCTTTTTTGGTAAAATCACTGCATTCTTCTACAGGCAGCATCGGCAGCAAAGGCAAAAGATTGTGGCGCCGCCGGCTCAACGTACCCCCGAACAACAGTAACTCAATCAAGAGAAAAAAATCAGCAAACGGTCGCAACCGCCTTGGCCTGGACACATTGTGAACACGTCACCAGGATATCTATAACATACACGCGATTGTCTCGGCACCCCACGACAACAGATGGTCCGGCAACGACGGCAGACGAAAATATTTCCCCTGGCAACTGTATTTCGCCAAGCACTTCTCCGTCAGCTAGACGAAGCGCAGATATCAAGCCTGGTACGGAGCAAGCAAACACGAGAGGGCAAAGGAGAGCGCACCCTTCGCAGCCTACTGCTGCAAAGCATGGGGAAGAGAACACCGGCTGGCCTCGGCCAACATCTGTTTCCCAAGCCAGGTCAACGCCGCTCCGACAACGCACGGCCCTACCAGCAGCAAGCAGCAGCAAGGTAAAAGGAAACGTTAGGGTGAGACACAGTGCAGGGGCGAGGTACAACAAATTGAGAACGGGAGTTTTGGGGCGATTTCGTTTCACCAGTGTGCACACACAAGAGTTTCGCCCGGACAAGAATGGCTGGGGTAAAGCGCACACAGAACCGCGACACATGGGGGCACGGGGCGAGCAGCGGCAAAAATTCAAACAAAGGACACCCTGCACAGATACGGAAATGGGTGTAGACTAAGTACACTTCAGCTTTGCAACTTCTCTAGGTGCCTGTAGACGCCTGCAACTCCAAGAAGACGAATAAACGTTTGTGACCTTGGAGTCTAGAACCATCGAACCTCCTCGCAACAAGCCGTCAACGCGGTGGCACGTACAAAATCATTGCCTTAACACATGAATAAAGAGGCTCACCCATCGTGGCATCCCCAGATGACCCGAATTTCACTTGCGTTGTTCACATCCCCGCCCATCTTCTTGCAAGGGGGTGGAAGTATGCAAGGCGAAGAGAACACGGGCTTGTCCCCTCGGCGACAAACCCACACCTGCTCTCCGACAGAGGAAACGCAGTACATTCCCCCGTCCACGCACCCAAGCACAACAGCCCCACTTGCGCTACACACCGCAGGGGAAGAAAAGACGGGAGCCGGCAGGTACGTATCCCAGAGAAGAGTGGGTTGTGTTGTAGAGGAACCGGTGAGTTTGCGGTTGTGATCGACGGAACTCCCTGCTTCGGTGCCCACGAATACCACCAACGCGGAGTTGTCGAGGGCAACCACTCGCCCTTTCGTCGTTGCAGCGTAAACAACGTGAGCCTCAGCATCGTGCGCTGGAGAGGCAAAGAGAGCTCCGCCGCAATCGAAGGTCCATCGGAGTACACCATCAGCCTCCCACAGACTCCGCAGCACTCCATCGTGCGATCCGAACACCACGGTGCCCCGGTCAACCAGCCCCCCCTCCTTCCTCGCCCCCCGGTCGGTGAGATCCGACGATAGCGCTTCGGGTATGCAAATGGGGGTGCACTTGATGGCATCGCCAGTCTCGAACGACCACAATAAAACTCCCATGCGACGGTCTATTGCATACAGGTGCCCATCGTGACATCCAACGAAAATAGTCGACCCGTCGTAGGAGCAGGCCGCCCCGGACTCGATGCGACCCCCGGCAGTGAACGACCATTCACGATCACCAGTTTCAAGATCCAGAGCCTGGAACTCGCCCGAGTGAGACCCGATATAGACGGTCCCCGACGAAATATGCGACGTGGAAATTCGAGCATTGCCGCATGTGGTTGGTTCTCCCCCTTCTCTCACCCGTCCTCCCAAACGCTGGGTGCTTGCAACGCTTGGACAACAACTTGACGGACCAACGCTCTCGGGCGAGGCAAACTGCGAGGGTGCCTCGGCCACCATGCCTTCGGCATTGTCGACACCTCCTGTCCTAGATCGGCCGACAATTTCCTTCTCGCTTTTGGGGAGGAACACGAGCGGGGTAGCGTCGATGCATTTCGTAAGGCACGAAGACCAACGAACCTCAAGGCCCGCTTTTGCCCCATTTCGCCCGCTTCCATCGCCGACTCGATCGCCTACTTCGCCCAGGCAGGCGACGGTTTTACGCAAACCCGATGCAGCTCGACCAAGGCCCAGAAATGAGCGTGAGTGCGTCGTCTGGTCACGCTTTTCAAAATCAAGGCGCTGCCTCTTTCGGCCTGTGGAAGTCGTACTCTGGAACCCCGCCGCAGACGCATCCGCTACCGCCGGCGAAAGCAAACCAGGACCGGCAGGAGGCACAGGAGGTTTGCGTTGTCCAGCCCCGGTAGCTGCCAATCCTGCAACGGCACGGTCCATCGCCGTCCCCGAAGAAGTTTTCGGCTCTTCCGCATGCCTTTCCTTCTCCAGAATACCGTGAAGGGTTGATGCTGCGTCTTCGAGCGTGCCGCGGAGAAAATCTTTGGCAGTCAGCATCGAAGACGGTGAGACTGGTGAAATAGTTGACCCCGCCATTGTGCATCCGGCGCTGCGGAGAGTTCGCCATGCGGCTTCAACGGCGAGGAGAGACGTGCCCCCTAACCCACCGAAGGTCATATTCGAGCAGTCAGAGCTTCCCGGAGCGGATTCCTCGAGGTTCCTTAACCAGGACGCGATAGAAGCCCGAGCGTTGGGGAGGACACTGACTACCGCCCGCGCGACAGCCCCTCTAGCAGCAGCAAGGGTTACCATACTTTGGCTTGTGGGGTCCTTGGGGTAAGGCAGATATGCATCTACTCCTTCTGCGCTTGCGACTGGTCGTCCTTCGAGCGCCTCTACTTGTTTCCGATGTTCTCTCAAAAGCGCCCGTTTGTCAACCTGCCGGCCGCATACATGTGGAATCTTCATGTTCACTGTGACTCCCCATCTAATTGTGTAGGGAGTGATTTTCTGGCAGGTGGCACAATCGAAATGTCACAAAACAGAGACATCAGCGTGAGCTTACCTTCCCACTGGTCGTCAAGGGAAACCTCCCGACGACAGGTACCAGAACTGCTGGTAGTTGTGGCGTAGTCAGTACCGCGGCTAGCTGGAGCCGCATCTTCGCCAACCCTTCGTTGTTTACTTCTACACCGTTTGGCTCAAAGAAACCCCAAAGCCGTCCACGATCGGGAGATGTTGTAGCGATTGCGGCCTTGGTGACTGCATTGGAATCACCACCCGTGCTGCCGTCAGTGTCCATCCCAAGATCGTACGCCACGGCAAAGGCTCCTACGGGCAGCCCCGAAGCCTTGCATGCCACTACTTCCACCTCCTCGAGCGAAACGCGGACACCACGCACTTTTACCTGGCACGAAGGGGTGAAGTCGGGAAAGAAAGTATCACACACGCGACACGCGTCCTTCACGCCAAGGCCATCACATCATCAAGGGAAAAAAAGAATCCCACGCCATTAAGGTCGGCCTTTGTCATATCAGCAATGTCGTCTTGTTTCGGCTGCGGGATAGGGTGCCAGCTGAGCTGGCTCGAGCGCACCTCTGTTTCTTACGCAAGTTGCCTACATTCCGTAGATGCTGAGAGATGACACCCCCTTATTTAGACGACTTTCACCTCTTCACCTTCGTGGGTGTGGAAATAACCCGATACGTGTACGGAAAGCCCTCGACGAGATTTTCTAGCAAATGTCTTGTGTTGGTGCAAGCTTGGTTATGGAGCAATAGCTCTTTGAAAATCTGTCTAGGGGCGGTGACATTTCTCCGCCTCGTGCGGTACCTCGCCGTTCTATTTACCCAGCTGAAGCGCGATACACAGTGGCTGCCACGCGTCGTTGATTGGCGACGGTGGCGGTATCGGGGCGGTCATTCGCGTGGTAGCCGGCGTAATATGTGCGACCGTGACTGAATCTAGTACCCTTCAGCATTACCGTTCACACCCTTTCGTCTTCTTGGTGTTTAACGCAATTAAGGCCCTCATTTCAAGCCGTCGCTGCCACTGTGAGCTGTCTCTGGGAGCATGCCTTGGATCTTTCTTTCGTCCGGGGTTTTGCCGGAGGTTGCTTGACGGCGTTTAGCAAAAAATTGTTCATGTCCACAAGAAAACCCATCAACATCCATACGATTGAAGGCGACTAGAGTTTGGGGATTATGTCATCAGAGATAGACGAATGGGGACTACCAAGCACGGCATTGAGAAAAAGACAGAGGGACAGCAGGGTATGGGTGTGATCGTATGCAAATAGCAGGGAGGCCTGATTGAATCCCAGACTGTATGAAACGTACGACAGAGATGTTACCACAGCATTTGCTTTATGCGATGAGAACATCGTCTTGACTACTGACAGGCCAACTTGGGGGAAGTAACGCTTGGTGAGAGCCTCTGGCTGGTCGCAATAAAGAGGCCGTATTGACCATCAACCAGATGCTACTGGATCGTCGGAATGCAAAACAGAGAGAGTTTCTTTATTACCTCGCCGTCCATTTTTCCCAGCCAAAACAACGGTCCGTCCGCCACCGGCTGGACCACACGATCACCAGTGCGAACCACGCGGCTTCCAGGCTTCAACCCAGGCATGTGTACCACGGCTTCACTCTCCCGCGTAGTGCTGAGCGCCACGGTGTGCAAAAACTTAGTGGCTGCCTCCTGGGGGGCGCGGTGGTAGCCAAGCGCGACACCCACGCCTCCGACCAAAAGCTCCCCCGCTTGGCCAATGGGGACCGGAGTCAAGTCCGTGCCCACCACGGAAACGTGAACGCCTGGAAGCGGCTTGCCGATCAAAACGCCCATATCACCCGAAGGTCTGAAACCAGCGCAGCCTCTCTCCGTATCAATGATATCATCCAGCGTGCAAAATGTCGCGTCGCCAGACACCTAAACGTCCGATGGGTCAACGGCGAGCAACATGCCAGCTAGGTGGGTGTCCGCGTGTGTTGTTGCTTGACTCAGCATTCTCTGTAATTCTCTGTCAGAACAGCCCCGAAACGCATTACCTGCTAGATAAGAGAATTGTCACCGTCAAAATGCCCCATACCTCAGTGCTACCGTAAAGATTGATAAGCTGTGCCCCCTGTGCAGTCCGGCGGCGGAACAAGAGGGCAAGATCGGGGTGCAGAGCCTCGCCACTTACAAACCAGGTCTGGAAAAAAAAAACAAGGTTCAGACGAGCAGTGAGGGAGAGGAAAGCCGCGAATATCAGCACGCGAAATATGCATCAAATGAGCGCGAGCTGAACGCAGAACAGACAACAAGACAGCCACCAAGAGACACGGTCGCCAGTACGATGTTAGCCCACCTTTTGCCTTGCAAGTAAGGAGTATGATGGAGGTCTCCTCGATACCGGAAGTAGGGATGTATTGTAACCACTAAATGCGCGTGCTCAAGCCGTGGAAGCACGATACAAGGCTGACCGTTGGTCACGACCATTATGCCCGTGGGCAAGGATGGAACTTCGAAGCATGCCGGCTTCATTGTGGTCAATTTTCCGAGGTCACAAACTTGTAATATCCAAACGCCTTACATGCACGTCCGGCAGCAACTTCTCCGTATCAGAAGTTGTGGTTCTAAGCATCGACGCAAGCAGCGATGGCGTCAAGGTAATCCGGGTAGCCTTGGCTTCGGCCAAAGCGGGGGCCAGCAGCAGCGGATCGGCGTGCGCTCCGGGGGTGGGAAGAAACAAAGGAATTCCAGCCAAGAGTGGGCAAAACACCTCCGCCACGAAATCCACGAAGCAAGAAGGCGTCCGCCTGCAATTTCCGAACGAATCATTGAGATCACGCACGCAGGTTGGTAGAATCGTTCCAAAACGTTTTGGAATACATCTTCCCTTGGTTTTCATTCGGGGGACAGGGTGACAACCTGCACGAGTGCACTGGGGATTTACCTCTACACATGGCGACCACGCAAGGAGCTAGATGCGGTGCTAGTTAGAGATACCTCATGATGATGCCGGGCTTTGTTGTCTATCGATATGGCCCATGTGCAAAGCAGCAACCCAGCACGTTCAAAAACAGTTTAACCATGTAGGCTAATGCCACGAGGCGCACCTACCGAGCGGAAGCCACGACTAGAACATATGCATGCATGAGGGATGACAAAATACCCATGCTGGCCCTTCCAGTCGCTACAATCTTCGGGCCCACCTGCAGACCAGCTCTCCGTCGCCACGGAAAGGGCACAAGCTCCACCCGAAAAGGATGCGATTCACGGCTCCAGATCGAGTGCCCCGAACACCCTTCTGAGGCCCAGTGGTCCCTGAAGTGTACAAAATATACAGCAAGTCTTCTTCATCGCGAGGCACAGGGCACGGGTCGAGCTCCTTTCTGTCATACAGGCCACTGTCAGCCAACTCCTTGCTTTCACTGGCTGCAGTTGGTCTCGTATCGCGTTCCAATGAGCCCGGACAGGCTTGGCCTGCCAAGCTTGAACGCCCTTCGTCCGCAACAGACCCTTCATCGTCAGGTACGACGTTGGCATGGCAAGCAGCGGTAGACGCTGTACACGCTGAGGATCTCGGAACCCTTTGTCCACATGAATGCTTGCCGATACTCTCCTCGCTCTCTCCGTCCTCGTCCTGCGCTTGGCTCTCCCGAAAAGTGTCTACCGTCTCGCGGAATTCGCTTGGATTTCCACTGTCCTCGAGGTGGAGAATTTGGCACCCTTGCTGCTCGATGACAGCGGGGATACCGCTACCACCAGCCGTCCTTTCACCGGCTAAAAAAGACCGCGTGGTGACTATCGCATCTGGCTGCGCGTCTCTGAAAACTTCGGAGAGACGAGGTAGAGGCAGCTTGTCGTCAATGGGAACGAAACATCCCCCAGCGAGAATCACAGCTAGAACGGCGCAGATCTCGGCGATGTCGGATTTCCCGCAAAGGATGGCAACAGTGAAGGTTGGGGTTGCCGGGCGTTTGCTTCCGAGGCCTTCCGCCCCTGTCAAGGCGTCCGCGATGGCGACAGCACGAGAGTGCAGCTGAAAAAACGAAACTGACTGCGGAAGGAAGGAAGGAAGGGGGAAAGAAAAGAAGCAGCACAGATACGTATGCGAGCATAGTTTTGATGGCAGGTCCTTCCATGGAGGCCAAGGAGATGGTGCCCGGTTTTGCCGAAAAACAGGAAAGTTTCAACTACATCGAGGTTGTGGGCTTCTCTAATGGCACATTCAACCAACAAACCGTTTGTATTTCTGCGCGGGGATGGATACTGGGGCCCCGGTGGGCTGCCATGAGTACCAAAGAACTCCAGCCTCGATTTCTCAAGGTACCAAAAACCTAGCAAAAAGGTGTGACGCGTGTACTACTGTACATCCTATTACCTGCACCAAAACCTGGTGCTGGTATCTGTGCAACTTATCTCGTGTTGTGTCCATCAGACTACACAAGTAACTACTGCGGTCCACATAGTTCAAGACGTCCTTCTTATTTGCCACTGGTACACCTTCGCATTGACATGGATATTGGACGCGCCGGCTGGGTATTCTAGACAACAATAATGAGCTGCGGAGCGCGAAGCGCGATCTTTTTTCCCTTCATCCCACGAGGGAACAAAAGGCTCTATCTCTGCACGAGGGGCCCAAGATTGAACTACGGCTGCCTGAATATGCCCTCTTTACGACCAGAACGAGGTCAATAGAGCAACGCTTTACGATCTGCGGGCTTCTGAGGAGGAAGAACAATAGGGCACTCTTCACCACACCGGTTTGGTCGTGCGCCGACAGGAAATGGCCGTGCCTTATCGGCATTTGTACCCAAACACCTTAGGAGATACCATAGGAGATACTCACCCCCATCCCCGGGGTGTTGTAGAGGAAACGGAGGGACAAAAAATCGGAGATCTCCCACACCACACACACGCAGGCACGCAGGTGGAACAGAGGAAGCACTCAGCCAGACACGCAACACCGCTGGGAGGGGCAAGACAGCACTGGCTGGGGAAGGGAACCATACACACAGCTCGTGGCCTCAACTGCAATTGTCATTGCTGTTGCTTTGGTTTGTGGGGAGGGATGATCGGCACACCAAACCTACCCCAGGGGCATAAAACAACCAAACTGATCCCAGCAGACGCGAGCTTAATTTTTTAAGGCTGTGCCAGACTCTCGTGCTCGCAAATTCTGAGCGTCTTCCAGCTTCTTGGTCTGTGTTAATCACCACACACGAGACACAGCTCGTGGCGGATACCTTTGACATTGCTGCTGCTTCGGTGTGTGGGGAGGGGTCACGTCGAAACACAACTGTGCCACGAGAAAAAATGCACAAGAAAACAAATCGGTGGGGGAACGTGTGTATGACGTATGCACACATATAGGTCTACCGTGGGTGACATAGGACACCACACACCCTGTATTGATGTACAAATGTACTCCACGACGAAGAGGACGCGTAAACCCCGCGATAAGTTGTCCGACAGCTCTCAAGGAGACAGTTTCCACACCACCATTTTCGGCACCGCCACAATTTGTGGTGGGGAGCAACCGGGCTTCGACAATTGGTCCAGGGTGTGGTATCTTGTGTCACCTACGGTACTGCCGTACGCACACGAATCCTTACGGCCCCCGTTCGTTGCAGGAGCCTTTTTTCCTTCAGAAGTTTTTTGTCGAAACACAAATTCGGACTGGGGCTCCAAATTCTTCCATCTATTTCATGAAGCACATATTGAGATAAGAAAGCTTCCTGGAAACGTCGTGCACTTAAATATGTTTCAGATTTAGGCGGCTTCCTGAGATTTGGCTGTGGAGCAACAGTCCTCCTAATCCCAACCAACGACATTCCACTGTCGGCGGGTACTACCGTATTTCCGTGGCTGCGCTGCGTGACAGCTGCACAATGGCAGCGCTCCCACTGCTGTTGAGTGTGCGTGCATGCATGCTTGTGCGTGTCTAAATCGCACCTACGGCTGGCTACCTTTGAATGACGTGCAATGTCGCCTTCCAAGTGTTCCCGAGAGAGGGGCTTTGGGAGGGGGGCACATCCAAGTCAAACGCTCTTTCTAGTAGAAAGCAGAGCGAGCGTCCCTTCGCTCTTGTTCTGGATTTTTTTTTCTGGTTGTGCGTTCTCGCGAGACTATCAGGAATGATTCTCAGAACGATGGCAAAACCCCAGATCTTTTTCCTTAACCTGGATATTTTTTGGGACCGGCCCTATACGTGCGACAGTTCTTATGTTGGACGGGAACAACAAAAAATATCATCTACGTTTGAGAGGGGTAGAGCCGAGTAGATTATTGTCTTCCCACCAAATCACATGTCGAGTATGAACGACAGGGACAGCTGATTGGCTGATGATCATGTCGCCGAGGAGGAATCCCTCTATACATAGAACAGCAGCAGCATCTGCGCATGGGACGTACACACTACTGCAGGCCAAGGACGGCCAAAGCAACACATCGTACGAGGTGTTGCGAGCGGTTTTTGAAGCCAGTTACCTGCTGCTAGCAGAGAAAGCGAGGGAAGCAAGGGCACACAAGTAAATCAATCTACGGTCTGTCTTCGTCTGTCTGTACGCCGATCTCTTGATTCACAACAACACACCAAACAGACACAATGAGACGTGCATGGTGCCATAGGCCAAACGCGACCAAATGAACACATCATAAAAGGCGTCGAGAGCAATTATTTGGGCCGTTGCCTGCTGCTGCTAGCAGCGTAAGCGAGGACGCAAGTAGTTCACCTCCACACAGCAGTTGCTGTTTGATGACGAGAGCATATTTCGTCCACTCCACAGTACACTTTCACTCGTCCCTGCGCTGCTACACACCAAAGTCCTGCAGACACGTCTGTCTGGTGTTGTCGGGTGAGGTGTGAGCGTGTCCAGTGGCATTGGTGAACTCCGTGTGTGTGATGATGGCTTAGGCTCCATCCACATCTATCTACAACTGTATCTACATACGCCCAAGGGCGCATAAATAAATAATCCGACAACTAACCCCAAAAGCTTTATTTTGGACCTCTCCGGGGGGGGGGGGGGGTTACGAAGGCCCCATCCCCCCCCCCTAACGCTATACAATTCCCAATAAAAAGCAAGCCCATTCCTATAACTTACATATAAACGGGCAACATTTCATGTACAGGGGTAGTGCAATCCACGACATAGTAGCCTATGGGTGAGCTTGCGTGTAGAGGAGAAGCAGCTAACCGAGGCGGAGGGGGGAGGAAGTGGTAGGGCGAAGGCGCTCGACGGGAAGAGGCTGTTTTGTCGTGTTAAGGGAGGGGAGGGGGGGGTGTACTCATAGTCGTGCATGCCGTAGTCGTTAGACCATTGACCTCGCATCCCTACAAAGCCGGGACGGAGCACGCCGGGTTCTCACCGGACCAGGCTCTCACATCACCAAGCGCGAAGCGCCGTGAGATATTCGGCGAGTCGCATGAAGGGTGCGCTGCATCCTGCTAAGGGTGTTCGGCATCTTGTGCTTACTTCCTTGCGTACGGATGACAGCTGCGTATGAATTAATTTATTTTCTGGTGCTTTCACTTCCAGAGACAGTTGTAAGCACTGTGTAACTGCCTCGAGGGTGCTTGACCATTTTAACACAACGTGGTGCGATCATCCCCCTTGCGCGGAGTGAGGGTTCTCCACCCCGCACAACATGATCTACTCGACCACCATTATGGTTACCGCAAAAAAAAAAAACGGAGGAAAAAAAAAAAAACGGTAACCTGGTTGCCGAGTTCACGAAGTGAATTGGCTTGTTTTACAACGTCCTTGCCAAGCGACGAAAACCCACTCCCGATGGCAAACACCGGGGGGGGGCGGCTTGTTTTACAACGTCGTTGCCAAGCGACGAAAACCCAACCCCGATGGCAAAACACCGGGAGGGGAGGGGCTTGGAAAAAGTGGAAAAGTACAACGCACGGCGAATTGCTATTGACTGTACAGGTGTTGCACGTGGCGAAGGAAGGTGATGCCATGCACCGCCGTTTACTCATCGCCAGCCCCTCTCCGGTACTCTTGCCGGCTTGATTGATGATGAATCGACGCATGGATTTATGTGTCCTTTGGTTCTGATGTGTCGTTTGTTGGTGTCATTTTGCCTTACTTTTCGCCTATGGTCGAATATCGTGGAATCACTTGTCGCAGAAGCATTGAGAAGTTCTGAGTTCTTGTAGTTTGGGGAGTTGGGTTGTCCACTAGCACTACATCTAATTCATTCGAGACATGAAAACCAAAAAAAAGTGTCCCCAGTCAAGGGATGCGCGAAAATATTCAAGACACATATGCATAGGCCTACTAACCGAAAATCGGGGTCTGTGGGGGGCGGGGGGGGGGGGGGNTGAACTCGCATCCCCACAAAGCCTGGACGAAGCACGCCGGGTTCTCACCGGACCAGGCTCTCACACCACCAAGCACGAAGCCCCGTGAGGTATTCGGCGAGTCGCGTGATCGAAACGCTGCATCCTGCTCAGGGTGTTCGGCATCTTGAGCTTACTTTCTTGCGTACGAATAACAGCTGCGCATGACTTCAATTGTTTTCTGGTGCTTTCGCTTCCAGAGACAGTTGTAAGCACTTTGCAACTGCCCCGAGGGTGCTTGACAAAATTAACACAACGTGGTGCGATCATCCCCTTTGCGCGGAGTGAGGGTTCTCGACCCCGCTCAACACAATCTACTCGACCGCTTTTCATGGTTACCGCAAAAAAAAAAGCGGTAACCTGGTTGCCGAGCTCACGAAGTGAGCGTCTTGTTTTACAACACCGCTGCCAAGCGATGAAAACCCAACCCCGATGGCGAACACC